TTCAAGAGGATAGTTGGATGATATTCAATATACAACAAATTGATAAATATCGATCATTGACTCATTATGACTTATTACTCGTCTTCATTTTACACACACATACACACAATTGATATTATTTTATATTTTTGTCTATTTTATTCATTATCGTATAAAAATCTGAAATATTCATTATATATAATTATAATAGTTTTAAAATGTTTTGTGTAATGTTCTGCATTATTTAATATATAATTAAGGTATACATCAGTGTTTTTTATATTATATCAATTAATATTAAAATTATATATTCATAAATATGTATTTTGTGCTAATAATAATAAAAATTATAAAAAAGTTAATTATATTTATAAAATTAATATAATAATAAGTGCAAAGTAACATACAATTTTCGTAACATTACATGTTACAGAAATTACACTGATTAATAAAAATAATTGTGAAGAAGTTAATCGGAATACAATTAGAAAATATGGTTGCAAAGTCAATGTAATAGCTATCAGATGCTTTAGTGAAATCAGCAGTGCACTGTCGAAGGAGATCATAAAATAAATAAGATTATTTTTGCCAAGTTATAGATTTTCTGCCTTAATACTAAATATCATATTTTAAATTATTACTGTGATGAAACCTAGACTGGTGATATCAAAAATTATTGTTACAATTAATTATGTTTAAAAATATTGGAAATTATGTATGAAAAATGTGTCATATTTCATGGTTTTTGAGAGAATGTGGATCATGTGCTGATTTTTTATTCTGAGCATTATAAAGAAGAATGTATACGTGTGTGTGTGTGTGTGTGTGTGTGTGTGTGTGTAGACTTCGTCTACTTGACATTAGAGCAGTTTCTTGATTTAAAATGTGCTATATTTAAATCATTTAATTATTTTTTTCGTTCAAGTACATTTAACAGCAAAAACTGCATATACGTAGGTATGTATTTAACTCTACTGCCATTACTTGAAACAAATACATTATTCGATATTAACAAATTGGAACTCTGGAATTACGAGTAATTATTTTTCATTGTACAGACTAGGTTTAAATTTTTGAAGACCTTCTTTTGAACATGGCTTGACCTTTTCATTTTTATGATTTTTTGGAGATAGGGTGAGAGAGGACGAATGAGGGTAAGAGAAAACGAGATAGGCGAAAGAGGGTGAAAGAGGACGAAATTGGGTGAAAGAGGGCGAAAGAGGACGAAAGAGGACGAAAGAGGGTGAAAGAGGACGAAAGAGGGTGAAAGAGGACGAAAGAGGGTGAAAGAGGGTGAGAGAGAATGAAAGAGAGTAAAAGAGGACGAAAGAGGGTGAGAGAGGGCGAAAGAGGATGAGAAAGAATAAAAGAGGGTTAGAGAGGACGAAAGAGAGTGAAAGAGGACGAAAGAGGGTGAGAGGGAATGAAAGAGGGTGAAAGAGGGTGAGAGGGAATGAAAGAGGGTGAGAGAGAATGAAAGAGGGTAAGAGAGAATGAAAGAGGGTGAAAGAGGACGAAAGAGGGTGAAAGAGGGTGAGAGAGGACGAAAGAGGGTGAGGTAGGATGAAAGAGGGTGAAAGAGGATGAAAGAGGGTGAGAGAACGAAAGAGGGTGAGGTAGGACGAAAGAGGGTGAAAGAGGATGAAAGAGGGTGAGAGGACGAAAGAGGGTGAAAGAGGACGAAAGAGGGTGAAAGAGGACGAAAGGGGGTGAGAGGGAATGAAAGAGGGTGAAAGAGGGTGAGAGGGAATGAAAGAGGGTGAGAGAGGACGAAAGAGGGTGAAAGAGGCGAAAAATAGTGAAAGAGGACGAAAGAGGGTGAAAGAGGGTGAAAGAGGATAAAAGAGGGCGAAAGAGAGTGAAAGAGGACGAAAGAGGGTGAAAGAGGGTGAGAGAGGACGAAAGAGAGTGAGAGAGGACGAAAGAGGGTGAAAGAAGCGAAAGAGGGGTGGAAATGGGGGTGGGGGCGGGGGGCGGGATGTGGGAGGGAAAGGGGTGGGTGGAAGTTGAGGGAGGTGTGAGTGAAAGGTGAGAAGAGATTTATATATATATATATAATCCTGATGACGTCAGCGGACGCGGATAGAGAAGAAGAAGAAGAAGAAGACGACGTTACTTCATTTTTCATGAAAAACGTCACTTTTTGACCGCTTGTATCTCCAGAACGGCTTGACCGATTTTATTTTTTCTTGGCTCAAATTACTCGTGGCGATGCCCCCTTTCAGGTTATATTACGTGCAATTCAAAATTTTTTATATTTTAGTAGTTCTACACCCCCAAAAAATGGACTTTGATGGTGCAGGATAACGAGACTTGTAGTGTCTTTTAAGGTCTTTTAGGGTTTGAACATGGCCGGAGACACTACCGCGTCTCCTAATAAATAATACTTCGTATAATATTATTCGCTATCTTCATCTACTAATAACGAGAATTGAAGGGGAGTAAATGCCTTTCTTGACGGCGTGCTGTAAAGAAATATTTTTGTGTAATTTATTATGAATTTTCATTCAAATTTAAATGTAATATTATTTATTATTTGAAAATTACATCGCAATTCAAATTTATCATCAATCTTAATGTTAAAATATTTAATTTATATTTATTTTAAACAAATTTCTAAGTAATAATACACTTTTATCGGCGATTAAAATACTGAGAAGCCCTTTTAAGTTTGAAAAATTTCAATAGTTTAGAGATGTTAAACTTTGTATAAAAAGGTGATTCATTAGACTTTTTTGTTAACTTTTTTGTAAAAGTTATTTACTAATTGATAAGTTTGGAACGATTTTCTATAAATACGTGGAAAATTATTTATTAACTTACCCTACACGTTTCAAACGAGTTTGTTTTGAGTCCAGATAACTAGATATTTTTTTTTTATGGCTTCTTCAGTGATTGCCAGAAATGATTGTTTAGCTGCCTCTAAAAAAAATTTTTAATTTAAATTTAATGTTATGGTACCTTTTATTCTTACAATGCCCAATTATATATATTCAATTCGTACCAAACATGCATTTACAAAAAGATAACTCCTTAAAACTTTCATTCTTCATTTTAATTTCCTGATTAATCTTTTGACCAACAAAGCTGTAATGTTTTAACGCACTATCTAGTATGGTTCTTTGGAAAATGTTGTTAATAAAATTACCCTCATTATTTCCTCTAATACTTTTTATATAATCAATCTGAAAAATAGTTATATACAAACTTAGTATTTTTTATATAAAAATTAAAATTTGTAAGCTTTATATTATTTAATGAAACCAATCAACCATTTAAAATATCATAAAAGGTAAAACCCAAACATCTAAAAAATATCGATGAATTATTTTATTTACGTGCATATTTATGATTTTAAACATGATTTTTGTTCGTAAGTAGAACATAATATTTGCACTAGCAATTTTTACTTAAAAATTATGTGTATTATATATAAATAATTTTAACAGGATGGTGAAAGTTTTGCATAGACATTTGTTTTAAATGTATATAAAATAAGAGAAATCGCATCATACAAGATAAGCATGCATATGATAAAGTGTGAAAGCGGTGGCAGTAGCGAAATGGAAAGATGCATCAATTTCGTTCAATATAATCGTAATGTAATTGTACAAAGATTAGTAAAGCATCAAGATATTATAGCATTCTTGCACCACTCTTTTTAATTACCTATATGCATATGTTTGTATACACAGGTTTGTATACACAGATTTGTATATTGGTATATTGTGCAATTCACATTTAGTACAAGACACATCTATATGGAAAATGTATGTTTATAATTATTCTATGTACAGTCAGCGGCGATTAATTCTGTCACCCCCCGTTTGAAAATATTTTGCGTGCGAACAAAATGTGGCAACAGCGCGTATAGGATAAGCTGTAGTTGGAGCAGTGGGTGTGTTCAAATCACGGCTGATCGCATACGCGCTGTTGTCACATTTCGTTCGCGCACAAAATATTTTCAAACGGGGGGTGACAGAATTAATTGCCGCTGACTGTATCACATAATATTGTGTACTATTTGTTTACATTATTGTTTCCTCTTAGAGAAAGCTTTTGTGATAGTATATTTTTTGGGTTACGAAACAAAAGATATAAATTAAAAAACATATGTTTTGAGGTTGTAAGAATTGAATTATAGTGTTTTTAGAAAAAGTCTGTACTTACCACATTGAAAGTGAAATTCTTACGTATCAATTTTTGCTCTAGTTTTTGTATGGTCTTGTTAGGATCACCGATAGGAAAATATTCTTCACATAATGTTTGCTGTGTAACTGAAGAAATTGGAGTATTTGACGTAGCTCTCATTTCATTTGACACCTTAAGTGATTTTATTAATTTGTCAGTGTTTTCTTGTTTCAACGACAACTGATGTAGATGTTTTAATAATTTTGTCTGCTTTTCTAAAAAAAAAATTTTTAGATTATAATCCCAGGTAGCAAGCACACGTCATTTTGACGTCGAATACTAGTCATGTTCGTACGAATGACGTCAAGTGACCAGAAACTGACATCATATTTGAATGACATTATAATGACGTCATTATTTTACGTCAGTATGACGTAATATTTAAGTCCTATATTCATTTTATAATGACGTCATTATGTAGTACGTCAGTATGACGTAATATTTAAGTCCTACATTCATTTTATTTATGTATTTTGGTGTCAATCTAAAAAAGGATGCCATTTATTTAAACAATTAATATAAATATATAGATATAGGCATTTAAGAGCCGAACGCAAACGTACAATTTTTATAGGTAGATCCTATACATATTAAAATAAAAAATATATGTATGAGAATATTTGCAACGTCATATTGACGCCGAATGACGTCATTAGACGTAAAAATAACGTCATTTTGACGTTTAATGACGTTAGTTTGCCACCTGAGTACAATCATCGTGTCGAAGTAACAAAAGCAAATAGAAAGCGTTTGCAACACTTGCGAGCATAAAATATGTCTTTTTTTTTGGTAAATAATAAAATTAAAATAATGCCACGAGCATTGCGAACGTAAAGTACGTGAAACAGATCACGCGCATGCAATCGTCATTTATCGCGCATGTTCTGTTTGCTACATCGGCGCGGAAAAATTATCAGTCTCATTGTCAGGTTAGGGTTAGGTTCACGTGCTTTGTGTAAATCCTGCTTGTTCAGACGCAAACGAAAAAATTCCGTATAAATTTTTAATTATTTATTATACGTTATATATTTTCTTGATTATATAGTCATTACTGAAATGACTTTTGTTGGCGTCGAATTTATTCTCAATGATAGTGATAATGAAGCGTCAATTGCTTTAGTACATTGTTCATGGTTAACGCCACGAAAAAAAGAGGTTTGGTGGCCTCCGTATAAAACTGGTGCACAATTTAAGAAAGCACTCTTCCGCGAAGAAAAGCCAAAAGATCAAACATGGACATTATACGGTATTAAACAAATACTTTTTTCTTGTGGTATGTATACAATATATATATTTATGTATGTGTGTGTGCGTATTGAGTATATTGAGTGTATTGAATATATTAATTGTTTATTTAATTAATATTATTATATATTTTATATTGTGATATTTTTAATTAACAAATTTTATTGCATAAAAAATTAGGTTATGTTTATAAAACTTAAATTTAACTATGTTATCTTTGTTAATTATAGATGAATATCAGAAAGCTAGTAAAAAACTAAAAAAGTGTGAAGAGTTTTCTGATGTACAGTCTTCTACAGTGGAAGATAAAGAGCAACCAAAGAAAAGACAGTCAAAACGAAATTCTAAATACATATCTACTAGTGAAGAAGAGGATGATGAAAGTGACCATTCTTTACGTCGACCACCAAAGATTTCCACATTTGGTAAAAATATTTTTTAATTAGAAATTTAAATTCTTAATTAATAATTATAAATCTAATTTTATCTTTTTGTAAATATTGGAAGCATTTTGTTATCTAAGCATTATTATGTTTAGCACATGCGCTACAAGATAAACATAAAAAATCTTTAACATCAATGCCATCATCAGTATCTATGACATCAAAAGACCTACCAGAAACAGGTATAAAGAAATAACAAAATATTAAAAAAAAAATAAAGCACTATATATTTTTGAAATTTTGTTTTCTAATTTTTCTTTAAATTTGTTATATTACAGTATCGCAACAAGACATAAATTCAGATTCTTCTGATATTCCTGCACACAATACTCCTAGTAGGAGATTAAAAGAGATAGATTTTTTAAATAGAACCACAATACCATCACCATCTTTAACTGTTTCCACAAACATCAGTTCTCGATCAGAATCTGTAAATTCAACTCTTAATGAAGCGAATGGAGTACCATATTTTCGTAGCCTTACTGGTATGTCTTATTATTATTCTATAAAATAAAACGATATTTTTTTATATACTACAATAGAATGATTGCCTATTTATATTAAATTTTTCAGAACAAATTTTTACTGAAATAAGAAAAGTGCGAGAACAAGTTAAAGAAATGTATGGAATATTGAAGCACTCCAACACTCAATGTGAGTGGCATGCTCTCTATCCCAGATAATTGTCCTGTTGAGTTTCCATTGAAAACACGCGAAGAATTGCAACTATTAGAAAATTATTTTAGTTCCCGTGAAAATAAACACGCTGTGGTATATATACAGGGTTGGCCATATTAGGTGGACCCATTTATTTAAAAGAAAAACATTAAAAAAAAACACATTTTTTGCTGTTCAAGTGAAAAATCATTTAGCGTTCGATTGATGGTTGCTCCATAGCAAAAATCTCCTAAGACTGACGCTTCGAACACGTGCTATCATTAGTCATTCTCACATTCCTTGTCAAAGTAACAGTGTTACCAGATGGGTCCACCTAATATGGCCAACCCTGTATTTATTTAAATCACATGTTTTAACATACATATACAGACACATACTATTATTATACTACTACTACTATAACTACTACTACTATAACTACTACTACTACTACTACTACTACTACTACTACTACTACTACTACTACTACTACTACTACTATTACTATGTATGTGTATGCATGTGTTGTGTATATGTACATATATGTGTTTATACGTGCATTAATGTTAATTTTTTTTATTATTTTACAGTCATTGTTCTTCTCAACATTAGAAGGTGACACTACTACTGCAAGAACTAATAAAATTTTAAAACACGTTTTAACTAACGAACTTGCGAAAGGTTTTAACTTTGCAGGACACAAAAATAAGGAAGCTTTTGAGAAGCTTTCTTTGAAGACTGTGATAATCCGTAAGTTTGACAATATTAAATATTTTACAAAAATTAATTAAAATTGATAAAAAATAAAATTTCTTTCTTGATATAATATATAATTTGTTATAAAATAAATTGTTTAAAATTTTTCTGTTTTGTTTATAGGCGGTGTGCAAATAAAATCACCTTCAACCACAGAAAAAGATATTGAGGATGCAATCAAAACTTGGTTAAAACACGCTTCTGACAGATTAAAGGAAAGTTTGAAAAAAAATAACAAAGAAAGGTTATAAAATTTAAATATTATATTCTACACGTATGTATTACTTTTTATTTTTATTTTGTCTATTGATAAATTAATAATTTTATTAATTTTATTTTTAAGTTTGCATTATTTATTTTAATAATTGGTTATCAAAACATATCTTTTTTCTTTTATTTGTAAAAATTTATCATTATGTTAAAAATTAGACGTAAACGTAAAGAATTTGTTGGACGGCGCCAACAATATCGAAGAGTAACGCAAGCTGTAAACAAAATATTTGCTGCTAATGTTTCTAATAGAACACCTTGTAATAATTTGAACCTATCAAACGAAATATATAATGAATCGTTAAATGATTTAGATACTAATAGAATTACAAGTACTAATAATGAAACGAGCAATACTAAAAATTTTGAAAATGTTATTGTCTCTTTAAATTTTCAAAACGATAACTATTTAACCATTGATGACGTATCTAATTTTTCTAATAAGTTAATAAATAATTCTTCTGACACAGATATAAACAGTAGCTTAGATGATCAAAGTAATTTTATGTATGAATTAAGGAAATGGGCCATTGAAAGACACATATCACATTTAGCTGTAACAGATCTTTTGCGCATACTTTCCCCTTATCACCCAGAATTACCATTAGATTCCCGTACATTATTGAAAACTCCAATTTTTACGCAAATTAATAAATTAGAAACTGGAGAATTTTGTTATTTAGGTTTGAACATAGCTTTAAAAAATGTATTGTCACAAAAGCATACCCAAGAATGTTTAAAACCTGGTGAAACATTAAAAATCTGTTTTAATGTAGATGGTATCCCATTGTTTAAAAGTAACAAATTACAACTATGGCCTATTCTGGGACTTATTAAAAATTTTCGTAGTATTCCATTCAGTATTTCAATTTTTTGTGGTACGTCAAAGCCTAAACCTTTAAATCTTTTTTTAAGGAATTTTATAGATGAATTAAATAATTTATTAGAAAATGGATTTGATTTTAATGGGAATCACTTTAAAATAGAAATTCATAGTTTTATATGCGATGCTCCTGCTCGTGCTTTTTTAAAATGTACAAAGACACATTCGGGATATTCTTCATGTGATAAATGTGTTGAACCTGGAGAATATTATAAAAATAAAGTTGTTTTTACAAGTGAAATAGCTCAAAAGCGCACAGACGAATCTTTTAGAAAACAGATAGATGATGATCACCATCGTGGCCCATCTCCTTTAATAGATTTACCTATAGATTTAATAACATCTTTTCCCACAGACTACATGCATAACATATGTTTAGGCGTAATGAGAAAGCTATTAAATACATGGATTGGAGGTTCACTAAACGTTAGATTACCTAACAGAAAGGTACAAGTGCTCTCACAACGTCTCATTAATTTACAGCCATTTATTCCATTGGAGTTTAATAGAAAACCTCGGTCATTAAATGAGCTAGCGTATTGGAAAGCCACAGAGTTTAGAACTTTTTTGATTTACATCGGTCCTTTAGTTTTAAAAGATATTGTAGACAAAGCTATTTATGAAAATTTTCTATTATTGCATGTTGCTATTTCTATATTAATATCACAAAAACATATAAATAATTTTGGAATTTCATTTGCACGAGAATGCCTACTAACTTTTATCAATCATTGCAAAAATAAATTGTACGGTCTAGAATTTGCTGTTTACAATATTCATCTCTTAACACATATATGCGACGACGTAGAAATTTATGGTCCTTTAGATGAATATTCTGCGTTTCCGTTTGAAAATTATCTTGGTAAATTAAAAAAATTAATAAGATCTTCTAATAATCCATTACAGCAAATACATCGTCGAATTCAAGAAATAAATTGTTCTTCCTTAGAAATAAATAAATGTAACTTAAAAGAAGTCAAAGCTAAATATTTTGTTGACATGGAACATAAAAATGGACCTTTATTAAACAATAATTCTTGTCAATGGTACAAACAATATAAAAAAATCAGTTTTACAAATTTGTCATTTTCTATCAATCGCTACAGCATTGCAGACAGTTATTGTAGTTTGAGTAACGCAGAAGTAATAGAAATACATAATATTGTAAAAACAACAAATGGTGATATTTTCGTTATTGGAAAATATTTTATTAAACAATCACCATTATATCTATATCCGTGCGACTCATCGCTACTTAATATATACGAGGTGTGTTCAAAAAGTATCGCGAATTTTGAATTTCCGCGGGTTACGTATATTCGATTTTCGATTTTTTTGTGGCGTTATGTTGGTACTCATGTTTCTCATTTATGCCGACAAGTACGGCCATTTTGAATGTTCAGTTAATTTTTGACAGCTGCTTTGCTTGCACGTGTTTTGGCTCGTCTTCGATTTTTGCCTATTCCAAAAAATGGATCAAAGAATCTGTATCAAATTTTGTGTGAAAAACAAAATTAAGTGCGCGGACGCATTCCGAATGTTGACTGTGGCATATGGTGAAGCTACCTTGGACCGAAGCAACGTTTATCGGTGGTACAAAATGTTTTCCGAGGGCCGAGAAGATGTGAACGACGAAGAGCGTGCCGGACGCCCGAGCACGTCAACAACAGACGAAAACATTGATGAAGTGAAGAAAATAGTATTGGTCAATCGTCGAATCACCGTTAGAGAAGTTGCTGAGGACCTAAACATATCGATTGGCTCGTGCCATTCGATTTTTACCAATGATTTGGGCATGACACGGGTCGCCGCGAAATTCGTACCAAAAAATCGTTGCTTGTGCGCGAATTTTTGGCCAAAACAACACACTAATAATGCCGCAGCCACCGTATTCCCCAGATCTGGCCCCCTGTGACTTTTTCTTGTTCCCGAAACTGAAAAGGCCCATGAAAGGACGACGCTACGCTACGATTGAGGAGATAAAGACGGCATCGAAGGAGGAGCTGAACAAGATCACAAAAAATGATTTTTTGAAGTGCTTCGAGGATTGGAAAAAACGTTGGCACAAGTGTATAATATCTGGTGGAGATTACTTTGAAGGGGACAAAATCGATATTCATGAATAAATAAATAATTTTTGAAAAAACACAAAATTCGCGATACTTTTTGAACACACCTCGTATATTCTCAAAGATTTTAGTAATCTCAAAATATGGCCTATTAGTCTCATTAGCAGCAAATGTATTGTAGTACCTTATATTGATGATAATACTTATGTAAATATGTTTTCCAATCATACACAACATTGATTAATATTCTTTTATTATTAATTTTTAGTTTAATATTTGTGAAAATTTATTTATTTTACGATCAATTAAAATTAATATTAATCAAAATTAATATTTGTCGCTAGTGGTGAAAATAAGCTTAAACAACTTGACTACGACGTAACTAGCAATTTTATTTAATTATTTCACGACGTTTCGACCATTTGGTTGTGGTCCTTTTCAAGTGAAATTTCTACAACATAATGTTACACAATATTTTTTAACATACGAAAACTCATTTAAGTGTTAAATTAATAAAATAAGTATACGTAAATTTTATAAACATACCATCAATTAAACCGAGGTTAACATAACATCACACCGGTGTTATTTGAAATTGAAAGTTAAACGTTAAAAGAGGAACACGTCCCATCGTTATGATGTTAAAAGTTAAAAGTTAAAAGAGGAACACGTCCCATTGTCATGATGTTTCGTCAACGACTAAACTTGAAACGCGCCACTAAACAATCTTTATTATTTTGTCGTAAATGTTTGTCAAATTGACGGTGTCTTTCTGTAGGTTAACTGTATTGTCATGCTTCTTTATGAAGAACATTTCAGCAATCTCTCTCTTTCTTACATGTTTCTCGTTATGTAAAATTGTCGGTGATTTCCAATCAAAGTTATGCCCAAAATCACATCTGTGTTTGCTCAAAACCGAATGATTAGACTCATGTAATTTAATATTGCTGGCATGTTCCTTCACTCTAGTGCATAAATGTCTTTTTGTTTGTCCAATGTATGATGCATTACAATTTTCACAATTAATCTTGTAAACTACATTCGTTTTAATATCATTAGTTATTAAATCTTTACCTCGTTTTATCAGCCTATTCAACTTTTTTGGCAAACTATAAACGACATTTATGTTAGCATTATTAAGTGACCTTTTAATACTGTCGCTAACGTCTTTAACGTTATGTTAACCTCGGTTTAATTGATGGTATGTTTATAAAATTTATACTTATTTTATTAATTTAACACTTAAATGAGTTTTCGTATGTTAAAAAATATTGTGTAACATTATGTTGTAGAAATTTCACTTGAAAAGAACCACAACCAAATGGTCGAAACGTCGTGAAATAATGAAATAAAATTGCTAGTTACGTCGTAGTCAAGTTGTTTAAGCTTATTTATTTTAATTTAGCAATCATAATGTGCAATGCATATTGTGCAATTTGAGATAGCTATTAATATAATCACAAATATACATTATTATTATTATGATTCTACAGTTTAATAATAAGTTTTTATATTATATACATATATGACTATTATAAAATAAGTTTTTGATAATTATATTCGTACATAATATATTTCGTACATAATATATAAAAATTTCTGTTTATATTAAAATTTGATAATTAATAAAAAATTTATATGTATATACATATATTTACATATTTTATCCAAGTTTTATATATATATATATATGTGTGTGTGTGTGTGTGTGTGTGTGTGTGTGTGTGTGTGTGTGTGTGTGTGTACTATAAAAAAATATTAGGAATCAATATTAAATATTAGGAATAAAAATTATTTTAAAGTAAAAAATTGAATAAACTTTGATATATAAATTAGAGTATAAAAGTCTTATTAGTCCTCTATACTCGAATTTGTATTTTTATAGCAAAGTTTTTTCGATTTTAATATTTTAAAATAATTATTCCTAATATTTAATATTTATTCCTAATATTTTCTCTATTGTGCGCAGGATCTAAGAACGTCTTAATAACGTCATTATATTAATCAGGAAAGGCGTCATGAAATAACGTCAAAATGTGGTTCTAATAACGTCATTATATTAATCAGAAAAGATGTCATGAGATGACGTCAAAATGTGGTTCTTTTCGTGACGTCAACAGTCTGTGACATTAGACCGTCATTTTTACGTCATAAAAACGTCAAGTCATGACGTCACAAGTAGTCAGTGACTGACCAATTTGAGACGTCAAAATGACGTGTGGTTGCTACCTGGGATGTAATGACATTTTTTACAAAACTATATATAGTTTACAAAACTATATAGAGTTTTGTAAAAAATGTTATCAATTTTGTACTATATTATTATTATTATAATACTACAACTGTTAATATATTATTACTTGATATATTACGTAATACTTCTAATAACTGTGAATTAGTAGGTTCAACAATTTTTGACTCTACACTTTCAGGCTTTTGTAAAATTTGTTGACCCGACATTCCATTATCCGAATCAATGGATGGACCAGCTTAAAAAAATATGCAATATAAGTTAGTTGAAAATTGTCTTGTACACCGTAAAAAGTACCGATTGAAACCGCCTACATTATTTAAGGCTGATAATCTTGTAACTTGCGTTGAACGATATGAAAAATGTATTAAATATATTACTGTACTTTCTCACATACAGTATTATATTATCTTTATATGCAACACGTGATTTAATATCGTTGAACGTGAGTTTCAATTTTACGATCTTATAATTAATACGAATGCGAGGGAAGCTAACAATTACAAACGATGTAACGCGAAAATTTAACGCTCTCGATAATAATTCTCCTTTGGTACTTTTTACGGTGTAATAATTCGATGAAACGTAGCATTATTTTCATGCAAGTTTTAGCAATATTTTCAAATCAAAATAATTTTATCACTACATATTTTATGGACTACTTACATTCTATAGTACTTGCGAGACTTCTTTTATCAGACGCCGTAAGTAATTTATTGTACGATGAATTAACACCTGATGATTTGTGTCTTGGCAATTCCATTTCGATCTCACCTGAAGTAATGCTGTTATCATCAGAATGTTCGCGTGAGTTATACTCATCACTATCATCATGATCAATACTAAAGTCAATTTGATCACATTGCGTCTTACTTTCTCTTGTCATATTGTTTACGTTAAGTGTAGGTGGTACGTATGAGTTTTTCTGATTTACATCTTCATCACTTTTATCCGTATCTTTGAAAGATTTTGATGCAGATGTTTTATCGACCTTACTTTTTTTTGTCAATGGTTCTTGTACATAATCTTTCATAGATTTACTCTTTCTTTTAGCTCTACTTGTTTTTAATTTCATTGCATCATTTGCATTACTTAACTCAGAAATACCATCAATATTCAAGAATTCAGTAGCTTCTATCCCAGTGAACCAAGTAATATAGCAGCAATGTAATGGCAATGTAACCAAATATAACAGGTTATATTACCAAAATGTTACATGTAATTTACATGTAAGTTACTTTTTCCGATTCAGCAATATAACATGTTATATAACGTGTTATCTAACCATTACATAACAATTAATGTAACGGTAATATAACAAATATGATAGCTGTTATATTAATGCAATATAATAGTAGCTATATTTGTAATGTTACAGTTATATTGAGATAATGAGCCTGTTACGAAAGTTGAATAAAAATAGATGGATTCAAAATTCTTATTTATTCATAAAATGTTTGTATTACACCAAACAAAATAATTATGTGTATCAAATTAAAATGTAACAAACTTAAAACATTAGAAATATATCTTTTATATTAGGAACACATATATATCTTATATATCTTATCAATCTATTTAATATATGTCTTTTACATTTTCTGCAAATTGTCTATCGACTAGATGCTAATAGATACTAAAATCGACTAGATACCGAGTGATGATGGCTGTGATAAAATAATACGTGGGTTCTTGCAATGTCGCTATCACAGTTTTACATATATATATATAATTAATACATCCCACCTCATCTTTATTACGCTACATTATATGTATGTTTCTATATTATTATTATTTGTATATAGTGTCACGCATCACTCGTTAAAGATGGCAATTGCAGACTTTTTTATTCCGTTGTATAGTGAATTTCTTTATATAATAACCTAGATATACTATATATAATAATAAACGTTCATATGAATAAAAAAAAGAAAAATATGAAAAAGAGTTTTTGACAAAAGACACAAAGGCATTTTTTCACGGTATATGACAGTAGCAAGTGTCTTTATATTATCTTTAACCTTGTTAAGAGTTTGCTTCATTCTCTCTTGTCTCATCCGTTGTCTTTCTTCTTTCTGCTCTTTTCTTCTCTTTTTCCATTGTTCGAATTCGTCGTTGTTTAGCAAACCGGAACCATTCTGCGACGATCTCTTCGAATTCAATTTCTTTTGTTGCCGGATATGTATGTAAAATAGCATCTGTGAACAAATTAATATAATTAATGATGTAAAAATGTAAACACAATGTGAAACAAAAACTAGATAATAAATTAAAGTAAATTTAGATTTATTAGGGTTGATGGGGTTAACTTCTAACAGTAGAGTTTTTATGATAAACAATTGAATAAAGTGAAAAGTAATCAATTATTTTGCATTTTGTTTCATTCTATTTTATTTACGTTTAGATAATAAGATTAGCATAAATTAGCATAAATTTTTGGGTTTTTTATAAAAACCGATCATATTTGCAAGTCTAAATACCATACAGCTCTTATATTTTGCTCTTATACCGAGTAAAAAATGTTAAAAATTAGATTTAAAATATAACTTTTGTGAAGGTATATTTATACACTTTCTGTAACAAAAATTTGAAGAAATTCAACAACAATTTGACATTTTTGGCAAAAATTAAAATTCTTTACAATATTACCACGGAACGAATAATTGCTATAAAATATGTAATCTTTTCAAATAGTATTGCAAGAAATCATGAAGACAATTATATATAAAAAAGTTATTTTTTCGATTCGATATCGACAACGATGATTGAGAACACTTATTCCTAACTATTATATATAATTATTATATACATTATTGAATTGTCTGTTTGCAGCAAGAACATTATTCAATGTTTCTGCCAAAAAACGGACAATAAAAAAAGGTAACTGTATTCTCAAACAACGTAAAAATGGTATTTTTTGGTACTAAAATTTCGGATATTATATTACCTCATTATTTTTATAATATATAGATCTTCAATGCAAAAGTTTCCCTTCCGTCCTTTCCATGAACATAACTCTGCACAGGAATTTGTGAAGATCTTTGTGCAAATTCTTTGGGTGTCCTCACGCGCTGTATGACCTCCAATTTTCTGTACAAATGTATTCTGCAATAGAAATATTACTATATTTGCAACAAATTGAATAAAATTTGACCTTTTTTGTGATAAATAATTAACTTACAAATTGTTGTTTTATTTCCGGATTTTCATGGATTTTTTTCTCAAAGACTTCAATCTCCGCGATCGATTTTAATGGCAGAAGAGACGCTATGAGGCCAACATTTCCTGAAAACATAGGTTTTCCGTGTTCGACTTTCTGGTGAAGCTCCCGTAGTTGTACTTGAATCGATGCGAGCATCCGAATAATTATTCTTGAATATTCTACATCAGAATAAATGACAGACAATATTTAGTATCGAAAGTAATCAGATGTTCTTTGTAAATGTCCAATAAGTCCAGTCAGTTTCACCTTCCTGATTACGATCCACCACTTCCATGCCATCAAAGGCTTTTCTAGTAAGCGTTGAAACTTCAGAAAAATTTTCTTTTTTGAGAGTTTCTGACATCGCAACCGGACTCGGAATCGTCATGTATGGGTCATCCACGTTTTCTGCTTCCTCGTCTATGTCACGTTGGTCTTCGTCTATAACACAACACAAGATATCATTAGGGTCTGATCAGAACGGCTGATTTATAATTTCAAGACCGTGTTTTATATTTTAAGTCTTTGGCCCGTATTCATAGCCCGTTCTTATATTTAAGATGATCTTAAGATCTCGTTCAACCAATCAAGAAATGCTATGCGGCCATTTGATTGGTTAAACGAGGTCTTAAGACGATCTTATAAATATAAGAACCGACTATGAATACGGGCCTTTGTCTTTAGTAACGTACAATACTGTCTTTTATCTCAAATCTAAATCGTACGAAGTGTTAATAAAAGTAATAATTTTATTGTATGCATACAGTATTCTAGATTTTTCTTGCGCGTTACTAAAAACAAAAACTCTCAGAACATAAAACATTGTCTTAAAATTATAAGTCAACTATTCAGACTCTTACTTATGATATGTGACTTTGTGAGCTTTTTTGATCCTCTTGCCTCTACGACGTTGTGTGAATTTTGAAAATTTGCAGATTTTGATATCTCGCCAAAGCTGTTCGGAATCGGTGGCAGGTCTGATAATATGTTTCGACCTGAAAATTCAAAGTTAATTTTCGATTGATGTTTCGATTGATGTTTTGTTGTCAGTTGTATATACAATATTCGTTGATGTGTAGTAAAAAAGCCTGTTTACAGACATGATGTAAATCTATTATTGAGATTTCCGCACAAGGATTTTTAAACAGCTTTATCTTAATAGCTCAAGATGGAATGCACAAGAGATATGAGGATTTGAAATTCATAGGGATTTTAAGTTTGATCTAATAACTGTAAATATAAAGTACAAATTACGAAATAGATTTAAACAGGAAAAAATATACTATATAGATTCTCCTAATGGTATTAAAAAATAAATGACGAAGCATCACAATCTTTAAAAAATTTGTTAAATCAGATTATAAAATAGCTACAATAACTTACGCAGGTCTCGTGGCTTTTTTATCCACTTCGAAGTTTTAGATTGATTTTCATTTTCGACATCATCGGATGAGGAGCTCGATATTCGTCTATTTGGTATGACTCTTCTGTACCCTTTTCCGAGTTGGTCATCATCAGTAGTTATATAATTTGC